GATATGTGTGAAGTCAACCAACACGCACTTGGTCTGCGTGGTTGACTATGGCCTAATCACCCTTAACTTAGGGTAGGCTCCGAGCCCCTCTGTGGGGACGTATAGTGAGCTGATGATGATGTGACATTAAAAAAAATATTGATAAGATGAAGATTGAAGAAATGACTAGGAAAAACAACTTACGTAACATTTTTATGACTATCATTTGCATTGATAATATAATTAACTGACTCATCATTTTATTGCGCAATATAATATTGAAGTCATCATTTAATTGAAGCATAAAACATTTATCAACGATATGTTAGAATATATAAAACTATTTAATTACCAGAAAAAATCATGTAACGTGAAATACATATAAGACCTTAAATATGTAGTCTATTTATAACTAAAATAACATCCTGCATAATCATCATCAAAAAGAAAATACTACGAGTCATGTTATTAACAAAAATAGCTAAGCCAATGCGGGGAGTAGTGTGCAGGAAGTATGTCACTGCGGTTTTTTTTAAATTTTATTAAATATCAATAAAGATTAGTACTGGCAACATGTAACTTTATATTTTTTCTGGTAATTAAAAATTAATAATATTATACTTTATTCATATAAATAATATCAGCATGTATATGGTGTTTATCTGAATTCTAAAACCATGGACAAAGTTTAAGGTTTTTGTGTGTTTTTAGCTTACAGGATGATTTATTTCATTAAAGTGCAACAAATAGTTAACATGTAAATTTCATTTAAGATTAATAATTAATTAAATTAGCTTATAATAAAGATATAACGAGAATACATAGAAATTGAAATTAACAATAAAGTGTAAAAGAGAAGTGATTATTGAAAAGTAAATATTTAATATATAAACATACAAAAATTACATAATATGTGTATAATATATAACGTTTAAAAACACCAATAACTTTTTGGCAAATACATTAAAATGCACGCACTATACACCTTAAAGTTATTCTAATTTAAACACACCCAAATACATATAGATTGTCTTTAAAAATCCTATATAATATGTATATATTATTACACATTATGTAATATATTTAACCGGATTAATTGCAGAATCGCAGACTAATCCAAATACACTTTCAATTACATTGTAAAAATTCGAACGCAAAAAAAAACATTCGACTCAATAAATTCTTGACGTTCCTAACAATTACCCGTTTATTAAGAATCAAATTATTAATTAATAATTTAATATAACTAAGCTTAATTAAGGAAGATTGATAAATTATATTGCTTTGTAATATTTTTAAAATTTATCATTATAAAAAAATATTTAAAAAACTAACTATTTTAATGGAATGAAACTATTATTATTAAATAGTTGCATATTTTAATGAAATTATTTTTTTTAATTACTTTTCTTTTTAACGTGGCTATTTCTTTGAAGCTATCTTAGTTGGCAAGATGAGCATTTACAATATAAAATAAATAATAACAAAATAATCTATAAAATTATGTGAAATTATGTTAAAGTGAATTTAAATTAAATACATTTTCCTAACATTATTATAATTAGCGTTAATTTAATTTTAATTTAATTTATAATTAAAATGTAATGACAAAAAATATTATTATTAATATATTCGATTTATTTCTAACTTTTAATAAAACGATATTTTAATTATTTTTAATTAAAATAATGAGTATTTTTACGCGGAATTTTTAATATTATCTGAGTATTAATGTATAACATAATCTAAACTAAGCACTTTATTTAATTTATTTCTAGAACGCATAATTTTTTAAATATTTTTTTTTCCTATTGCATTTTTTGACTAGTTGTTTAAAGGGCGGATTTTATAATTTCAATAGCTAGGCAGTTTCACGGTGTTAAAAAAAATCGATTATTTTTGTTTATGAATATAGAAAAATATGTTTTTACTGCATGAAATTAGTCTTTTTTATAGCAACTCGGTTTAAAATATCTAGCTGTTACTATATTATATGTAAAATGCGGACACGGACGCGTGAAATGCTATTCATACAATGTTGTTTTTTTATATTAATTTCTCTATTTTAGATCATTTTAAATATCGATAAGAGCCTTGAATATATTCATAATGTAGTTAATGAAAGGGCTCGAAAAGAGAACTATAGATGTATTCAAATTCTATGGAAATGAGAAATCACAACAAACATTTTACCTATAAGGCTGTAATCACTTTTTAAAAACAGATTTTTTATCATCAATATAAACACTACAGTACACGTGTATTTGCCCGCGTCGGATTTTAGTTTGTTTTGTATGATTCGCCCACATCGAAAGACGGCATTTATCGATAAGCAATCCATTGCGTGCTGTGTGTCCGGTGTGTCCGGGGTGGGCTAATGTACGCTTACCTTTAAACATTTCAAATGTCAGTGACACGTGTTATAATTTCTCATTTCCATTATTCGAATATGTAAATGATATGACATGATAGGCTATTTTAATTCTAAATATTTTTCGACAATAGCCATAAATATCGCTATATTTGAACAATTAACTTTTATCACTATCCTATAAAATCGTACACTAAACCAGGGGTAGTAAACCAATGGCACGATTCATTATGCAGTGCGAAAAAATAAAATTGGTAAAAAATGTTCACAATAACCACAAAGTCAAAATTGTTTGATGGTTTTTTTTTAGGTAAATGTTCGTCACCCCTGGATTAAACTATCGAGTAATTTGGCTAATATTTTTTATATTTCGAATAATTTTAATTAAATTCCACCATTATGCAAATACGAACTATAATTTTTTTTCTGTTTCTGAACTGAAATCTCTATATTTTTTGTTTGGTATATAAATAATTATTATTTTATTTTAATATAAATACGGTCTACAGCACAAGAAGCGACATATATATGTTACTATATAATTATATGTTAATAAATATATTTGGATATGTTAAATTAAAAACATATTTTGGATGGCATCAAAGAATACTATTGGTAACTAACATAAATGAATTATACCAATCGCCTTTAAGACTATTATTGTTGTTAGATGGTAACACTGATTTTAAAAAGATGAAATTGTCTTTGCTTATTTAATCGCATCTTTCGAGCATTAATTTTCTACCAAATAAAGGGCTTTTACTTTTAATTTCTTATGTATTATTGGTGTTATTTGTATTTTTCATGTGAATTTTGTTGGCAGATGCTCTTTTATTAACTATCAAGTTGACAGCTGTCAGATTGACAGCTATAGTGATGCGCCGATAATTTTTTTACGGTTAATTTTTATTTATCACATTATCGGAACTTTCATTTCAATATGCAATACCTAAAAAGTATTCATATGTCAGTTTCTTTAAAAATATTACACGGGCCGTCCATATTGAAATGAATATACCTCGAGTTTGGTGAATCCACCGCGTCTTGAGTTTGATCTTCCGTCTTCGCGTGTTTTGGTGAATTTTCTGAATGCAATTCTTGACGGAAATTACCTGAGAATATGTAATATTGCGTAAAATTAGTTAACAGTGTTAAATATAAAAAAATAAAGCTTCATACTTATATTTACAAAGTTAATTAGTTTGATTGATTGAAAATAACACAAAACATACTCACAAGCAAAGCGGCAATTCGAGGCGATAACAAAATGGAACTGGCTGCAATACATGTTAAAATCAATAAAAAAAAATTAAGGATCAACAAAAAAACTAAAAAAAACTGGATTTTTTTATTTACATCACTTCAAAACGAGCAAATAAAAGCACAAACTAGTACTACTCTATTTAATTTTGATTGATTACTTTGGTAGGGATTTTTTAATCGCAACAAAAAATCTAGAAGCTTGGCAAAGCGACAAAATAAAAAAAAACTAAAGTGTATAACATTTATTTTGGATGTCTGTAGCACCATACATTTCTTATTTTAATACAAAACACCATTTAAGTGCGTTTAGGTAACACGAACATGGACTTTGGATTTTTTTGTCACTTTAAAAAATAAATTCTTAATTTAAGAAAAGATAGCAATTATAAAATAGAAAAAAGATAAGTAAAGGGAAAAATATATGAAAGATTGTAATAAAAAAATCTATCAATCTAAAAACACAAAAAATGGACTTTAAAAACTAGAAAATAATAATAAAGACTAATATAAGAATTGTAAAATGTCAAAAACTACCCAATATTGAGTTTATTAAACGAAAAAAAAAACAATTTGATATACTTGTCGACAGATTCTTTGAAATAAGTAACAAAATATCCAAAATCCATATTTCAAGGTACAATTCATTATAAAGCTATGGGTTTCCATTGCTCAAACACTTGTATACAACATGTTATTTCCGAAGGCAGAAAACATCAACACACGCGTTTCAGCAATGAAATTGCAAGGTATAGTAAACAACAGTCTTAAACAAAACAACAGTGCATTTATGAGACCAAAATCCCCGTTTAAAATGAATGGTCATCACTATTGTCCAAGGGAATGACGGATGACGATATTATTTAAATAGAAAATTTGGTCTCAGAAACTCACGGTAAGAGCATATCTAAGATTAACTTCATTTGGATACTTAAGCGTTCTGATCATTGACAAAAAAATGATTGTTCAATTTTCTTTTATATACGTATACTTATATATGTACGTATTTATATAAGTATAATACTGTTATTATACTTTAAAATCAATTTAAAATATCGATTACATTTATCGACATAATTGTCAAATCGATAAAAAAATCTATGTCATAAAATGTTTGTAACCTCTGATTTATTTCAATTTTTGACTTCAAAATAGCGGATGTTCTCAAGTAGTCTGTATTTTCTTAAATCTTAGTAACATTATAAATGCGCATGTTTGGATGGATGGATGTTTATTTGAAGGTATCTCCGAAACGACTCAACGGATCTTGATGAAATTTTGCACAGATGTAGAACATAGTCTGGAAGAACACATACGCTACTTTTTAAGTTTTTTTTTATTTAGATCGGACGGAGTCGTGGGTGAAAGCTAGTGTTTTATACAATTAATTATTGTGAATTATAAATTTATTTTTATTTGTTCGTAATGTAATAAGTAACATAGAATTATCATTTTAATGAAATGTCAAAACACCCAATAAAAAATTGGGTATGTTTGAGCAGAACTAAGACTAGAATTATTATAAAAATTATTTGGCATAAAAATTTCTTAAGCACCATTATTTATTATCTATACAAATCTTATTATCTATGAGGAATCCCCTCACTATGACCATAGATTATATTGCATCATAATTTGCAGTTACCTGCGGACTAGTTGCCATATTAAAATATGACAGATCAAAAATATTTACAACTAATTATAATAGATTAAGTTTTCATTAGTTAAAAAAAAAATGCATGCTTTTAAGTAATACGACAATCATGCTTAATACTTAGTTTTAAACTTATCGTCATTAAGTTATGTTAATATCACTTTAAGTTTTTAATACTTAAAGTGACAATTAACATAACTTAGATATTGTATGGTAAAAATTTACCATTTGTTCGTTTAATACAATTAAGTCTTAAATATACACTATAAAAAAAATGCATTCACATTCCTCCAAAATTAAAAAGTCAAAATATTTTTAATCTATGAGAAGTCATCTGTCAAATTATAGTCTATGTCAATGCATTTGACATATTTAAATTTGTTTTTAACTGTGGAGGAAGGAAATAGTGCTGCGACATCGATATATCGATATTAAGTGCAACATTTACTAAAGCCACTACAACGACAATCGACTTTGCGCGCCCGTCTCCTACAAAAGCCGTAACATTTCAACGCCAAACAACACAAGCCCCCTTTCTTACTGGCCTCAGATTTACATGATTCCCTACTATCCAATCTCTCTAATGGTGGTACATCATTTAACAACATATCTAACCGACTCTTCAACTGTGTAGGGGATACACTACGATCTCTACTAAGTTTAGTAGTCGATTTTATTTCTAAATTCGTACCTAAAACATCGATAATTTCATTAGCCAAATCATCAGAGCCTGTTGAATTTTCCGCATTCGGTGTATGCGAGTCAACACTTTCTGGTGTATAAGGATATAGACATTGCGTAGGGCTGAGTAATGATGTATCGATATCGTTAACAAATATACCATCGTTTGAGTCAACACTAGTGATTTCAACGTATGGTATAATTTTATCTGTTAAAGAACTGGTTCTGGTACGCTTTGGTACATCTGTATCTGCGTGTATTTCGTATGAATAGATAGTTTTCTTGGCATATATATCTGGGTCTGTTGGCAGACGGGCGAGGCGGGGCGGGGGCTGGGGCGAGCGGGGCGGGGGCGTGGGGCCGGGGCCGGGGGCGGGGGCGGGGCAGAACGCGCAAGGCCGGGGGCATCTACTCTCTACCGTACCTCTGTCACTCTGCAGCATCACGCGTAAGTAGATCGGCTGTTGAACAAAATTACACTTATCAATTACTTTTTATAAAGAAAAAGCTTTAACATTTTTTTTTTCATTTTAGATAGTAAAGCTGCAGAAATCTTATAGTTATACATACTATATATCATTTTGAGTTACTATAAATTACCCAGTGGTTACCATGATGTTACTATGCGTTACTATCAGTTACTATGCGATACCTTGCAGTTACCATTAGTGTTTATTTTATATTATAAGGTGGTATACGAGCAAGAGAGTACCTGAATACACCGAAAAAGCGAAGCAACTACTGTCCATAGACATCCAGACAATTGTAGATGCGTTACTTCCTTTTTATCGAAAGAGACGGACGCATAGAAAGATATTTCTCCTTCCTATGCCTCTCTACCTCCACTTTAAGGGAGGACTAAAATTAGTCCTAAGGCATGCAGACGCGTGTATTCTGTGTTTGTGATGTTTTACGTAGAAACCAACAATCAAGATGAGTGTGCGTTTCGGAGGATTCATTTAACTCCTTTTTCCCTTCTCACCCTTTTCTTGTAAGGAAAGGTTACCTTGTGGTCCCCCATGCAGGCAGCATCCCCGATGACACCGTAGTCAGTGCGGCGTCGTGCTGTGACGTCAGCGAGCCGGCGCAGTTCTCCCTCACACTTGGGCGAGCCCTCAGACTGGTTGCGAACCAAACGCCGACGGTTCGGCGAACCTTCCGAATCTGAACCACTGTTTAGAGAGAGTTTTTTTTAATATAAAACATACACATAGCACGAGGGAGTAAATTAAAAACCTATATCGATTTTAAGTATTACATTTTGGTAAATAAGAAAAAATATATTTGGTACACACAATGTATTTGCTTTGCTGGATACGAGATTTTATTTATAATTTTTCCCTGGCTATGTCTGTCCGTCTGGAAGGCCGCATTTGTTCCGGGTAATCCGGGTAATAAAAATTTGACGGGACTGCAAGATAGTTGATGCCGCGAGCAATTTATAGTCTACTTTTCTTATAATTTTTGTGCTGACGAATCCACGGGTAACTGTTAATTTTTATAATATTATAAATGCGAATGTTTACAGCAATGGATGGATGTATGTTAGAAGGTATGTCCGGAACTCAACGGATCTTGATTAAATTTGGCACAGATGTAGAACATAGCCTGAATATACACATAGGCTACTTATTAACTTTTTTTTAATTCCACGCGAATGCAGTCGCGGAGAATACGACAGCTCGTATATCGTATATGTATAACATTAGCTGTTTAGCGCGAATCCGTCCGCGCAGAATTAAAAAACTGAATTAGTAGCCTACATAGGCTACTAATTCAGTTTAGAATACAGATTCATATAGAATACATATTCTGACTATGTTTTACATCTGTGCCAAACTTCATAGAGATCTTTTCAGCTGGTTCTAGAGATGCCTTCATCCATCCATCCATCCAAACATTGACATTTATAATATTAGTAGGATATTGTAAAACAGACCGTGCATTGAGGGCGTGTTGTATACTGGTGGGGTCAGCAATGCTCTTCCTGCTGACAGCAATGCCGGGCACACACAGCGCCTCCAGGTCCGCCACACTGCCCTTCTTCTCCAGCACCTTGCCGGGACTCACCTGGAAAATGCAATAATTCATTGTTATTTCTCTTTATCACAATGTTTATGAAATGAGTATGTGTCACGGCCGACAGCTAGTTTTTATATATTATAATACTAGCTATCGCCTGCGACTCCGTCCGCGCGGAATTCTTCTGGCTACTATATCTTATCTACATATGTAAAAAGTTGTGTTGGCATTTATAATATTAGTAAGTTAAATAAAAAGCAGCTCTTCAAGGCATAAATTTGAAAAAAAATTGAATAAATAGTATTCTATGTCCGACTCCTGGCTCTCAGCTACCTCCTCACCAATCGGTCATATCGGTAAAGCCGTTCTTGAGTTATAAATAGTGTAACTAACACGACTTTCTTTTATATAAATATATAATTTGAGAAAAGAGGAAGCGGCCTACGTGTAATCGACAGAGGAGGGGACGCACAGAAAGATAATGTTTCCGTTTACCATGTGTACCTCCTCCGTCAAATCCACTTCTTGCCTTCCTTTCTTAATATAGAAACGGGTTGGAATGGTAAAGAGAACTAATCAGACTGTACGCGGAATTGCTTCCACTTGATCCCTCTTCTATGTAGTCGTGTTGTACTTAGCGAGCTGGATTTATGTATGGATTGTATGGATTAAAATATAAGCTCACTTGATGATTCTGTGAAGCGGGTGAGTTGGATCTCGCAGGACTGCTATCAGAAGATGACATCCTGCTGTTACTGTCCGTTGAGTCTGTTACTGATTTCCTGAAAATTATATAACAATTACTAGCTGTCGCCCGCGACTCCGTCCGCGCTGGATTAAAAATAGATGTTGGCTGATTCTCAGACCTACTAAATATGCTCACAAAATTTCATGAGAATCGGTCAAGCAGTTTCGGAGGAGTATGGGAACGAAAGTGACACGAGAATTTTATATATAAGATTATATACAAATGTTTCTATCTAGTGGAATATTTTATCACTTTTTTTTAATTGTTCTATGAAAATTGTGTCTATCGTGAAATAATTTCGGATTTGGATTGGATCGAATTATAAGTAATATATGAAATTTGTATATAGAAAAATGATGAAGAATTAAAATCGTTTGATGCGGAATTTTATAAAACTAACTTTTTTTATAATATATCACAAGGTGGCAAACGAGCGAGCGGCCACCTGAAATCGCTGAAATAGCGAAGTGGCCGTTGCCCATAGACATACCCAATTGCATATACGTTGCCTACTTTTAATCGACGGAGGAGAGGATGCACAGAAAGAAAATATCTTCCCTTTCCATGCATCGGAAAGTCCACTTTTACTTCCCGTCGTTTCCTTATAAGAAAAAGGATGGTAAGGGAAAGAGGACTAAATTAGGCCTCCAGGACGCACACTCATCAGACTGTACTTGGAATAGCTTCCACTTGACGCCTGTCTTCTGTATGGTCGTGGTATTTCACCGGGCGAGCCGGGACAATTTGTGCGAACATGTTAAAGCGGGCTCTACCACTGTTAACTTTTATAGCTACAGTAGATTACTAAAATTTTCGCGTGACGGAGACCTAATTTTCCTTTCCATCTTTGTCTAATAAGGAAATCATGAGAAGGGAAAGTGGATTTATCCTTTGTTGATTAGGTAGCAATAGTCGTTTCGCTATTTTGGCGAATTCAAAGTATAAAAAAGTGAACTGTACAGACCTGGAAGAATGCAGATGTCGGGAGTCTCCAGGTCTGGCGTCAGAGTGCTGCACCAGCAGACGTGCAGACTGAGACAGCAGCACGCGGTCACACCACGCCGGACATCTGGAAATACAAACATACATATATATTATACTAGCTGTCGCCATCGACTCCGTCTGCGAGGTATTAAAAACTATATTAGCAGCCTATGTGTTCTTTCAGATTGTATGCTACATTTATGCCAAATTGCATCCATGCTGCCGTTCTGGATCCTTCTAACCAACATCCATCCATCCATCCATATAATATTACTAAGATAAATATCTAATCTGTTGGACTATTTTTGTGGTAAATTTCTTAGTGTTGTCATTTACAATACAAATTGACGTTACAAAAGTTGATTCTAAAATACGTCAAACTTTTATGAAACACTACATCTATCTTACTAATATTATAAATGCGAATGTTTGGATGGATGTTTGTTATAAAAGTATCTTTACAATGGATGGATGGTATGGATCACACTGATATTGGGCATATATATAAAACATAGTCTAAAACACAGTATAGCACAGTGGTTCCCAAACTTATTTTGTCTACTGCCCACTTTGAGAATAAACATTTTTTTATCGCCCCCATATTTTCATATATTTAAAAACCATTATAACTTCAAATTAAATTAATTAATTATTGTGACCTATATATGTATATTAACGGAGAATTCTAAACGAAACTTTTACTATAACCCGCAACTTGAGACCTGCAGCGCCCACAAGGGGGCGTTATCGCCCACTTTGGAAAATACTGGTGTAGATGCTTAATAAACACTGCTTAATAAAGTTTTTTTTCTAATTCCTTGCGGACGGGTAGTTAACAATAAATAAAAATAGAATAATGTGAATCACCTTGTCTTCATATAATGTGTGGGTAGTTGTACATTTTCTTCGAAAGGATAACTTGGCGGGAACTTGACCGGGAACTCGAACAGATGTGGCCGCAGCGCCTCCAGCTCTCGGTCGAAACGTTGCAGCTGTCAAAAGATAACATAAAAAAGGTAAAGATAGGAAACAAAAAGATAAGAAAGAAGAGTCTACTGTGAAGTAGACAAAGATTAAACAGAGAAATAGAACTATTTGATATATATTTTTTGCAATAGGAATACGGAAATTTTAATCTTTGTCTTCTTTTCGTTTGTGAAACCATTGATCAAATTATTTCTGACCTAAAAAACAGTTTTAACTAAAAAAAAGTTAAAAAAATTGTTTTAATGAAACTATGATTTATTTATTCCCTTTCTTTCTTCTAATTGTTTTGCAAAATTTTGAATTTTATTTCGACTAAATAAATTTAGATCCTTTATACACAAGGCGACGTAAATCTATGATATCCGGCGATTTCAGTAGCTAAGCGACTTGAGCAATACAATGTTATAGAGGTACACAGTATGCGTTATCGACATTTATATCTGTCATCGTCAAAGACAGTCACTCGCAACCTATTTGTCAAGATGGCAGAGCGAAAAGTCGCGGCGACTTTCAAGATGGCGGAGCAAGTCTTGGCTAACATATAGTCGCTACGCTTCTACTAAATAGACGACTCGAATTGACAATTCAAAGTTGTGTAATTTACGTTGCCTTATGTACGAAGGGTCTTCTAGAACATTCTAGACTAACCCATGGTTCCCTGAATATCTTCTGATGGTCTACATGTGAGAACTCCTTCTTGCCAATGGTAAGGACGAGGCGATCATTCTCTCTCGCTTTGTACTGCATCTTGGCGGACTCCGCGCTGTTGCCGTGTTGTAGACGGCATGCTGTCAATTCTTCTGTCATTTTCTAGAACGTTCTTTATATTTGAGGTTCTTTTTAGCTTGCATTTAAATAGAATACTTAAATCTAACTAACATTATAAATGCAAATGTTTAGATGGATGGATGTTTGTTTAAATGTACCTCCGGAATGATTCAAAAGATCTCGCTGAAATTTAACATAGACGTAGAACATAGTCTGGATGAACACATAGACTACTAATTAAGTTTTTTATTACAGCGCAGATAGAGTCGCAGGCGACAGCTAGTAATATTGTTAATGCGAATGTTTAGATGGATAGTTATTTATCTATCTATCTCGCAACAGTCAGCGCAGAAGAAAGTAGCCGACAATATGTCCGCATGCATCAGCTCATCTACCTTCCCGTCAAAATTCCAGCTATATCAGAGATTACCTACAGACAGACAGACATATTTTTTTGTTATCAGATTCAAATATATAACGTACCAACGAAATACGATTTTCGATATTCATACAGACACTCATAATAATTTTACTAATATATATTAATTACCTTAACAACAGCGCCTGTGTCAGTCCTAAAGTTGAAGTCTCCGAAGATAAAGTATGGGGCGGAGTTTGCGTCCGCGTGCAGATGACGTAACGTGTGACGTAACGCGCGACGACGACTTCGGCAGTATACCTAAAGTACAACGTTACTGTTACCTTGTGGTAACTCTGACACACAGAATAAATTGAAACACAGAAAGGATGAAACAAAGGAAATTTGTTGAACAAAGTGTATTTCAGTGTTGGTATTAGTCGTCATAGACCAGGGGTGGCGAACCTATGGCACGCGACATTTTTTGGATTAATCACTAATCACTATACACTATGAAAAAGGTACTAAAAAGTCAAGTATTATACAAAAACTAATATCTGCGCTACAAAATGTCATAATAATCAAAACGATTTTTTTTCATGGTATATCTATGACCTTATTAAACATTTTTGCAGAACGTTGATATGTACATGTTTGCTACCCCTGACATAGACGGATTTATATCGAATAAGTGAGATAATAAACCTGAAACTGACAAGCATGGATGCATAGATATATGAATGTGACATTATAAGTTAGAATCCTTTGTCGCGAATGGCGCGCTTTCGTTACAAAGTCAACTGTCAGAATGATTAGTGATGGGACATAAAAGTTGACATTTAAGTAAGGCTAGTGTTGTGGCAGTACACCGGCACAGTGTCGGATTTTCTTCCTAACAGTACAAGTTTGCTACCTCTCACACAAACGGACTTAAATCGAACAAATTTGTGAGATAAAACCCTGAAACTTTAGAGCATGGTTGCATAGACGTATGAATGTGTAAGAAACGTACTCTCTACCTAAGTAAGGACAGAGTTAAAAATGCCTAATGATTAAGGGTGTGACTTTGTTCCTATTTACGCATGTTAAGTGATCCAAGTATGTGTAATGTAAAAAATAATTCGAATACCGCTCTGTTTCAATTGAATCTATTTGATATTTTTGAGGTTTGCAAGATATTAACTTACCGATGGGAAGGGCTCCATAGCTACCAGATTAGATGCGTCATGGAACAAATGTATGTTGACAAATTCAACCGCAGTGCCGCGCAGCAACCAGCGCGTGCGCAGGAATCCTTTGCGCGACCATTTGCACTGCGAATTTAAGAATCGAAAATAATTATTTGTTTATTAAAAAAAATTGTCTCTCTCTTCTCTTTCCCTTCCCACCCTTGTTCTTGTAAGGAAAGGATGGGAAGTGAAAGTGGACTTTCCAGATGAGACGATGCATGGGAAGGGAAAATATTTTCTCATATGTGCATCCTCTCCTCCGTTGATTAATGGTAGGCATCGCATATGCAATTGCATATGCCAATGGGCAACGGTCGCTCCGCTATTTAAGCGATTGGAGGTGGCCGCTCGCTTGTCTGTCACCTTATGATATAAAAAAATCAACAAACAAAAAACATACAGGAGATTACTTTCCTGGATAACAAGAATATTTTTTTAATATTAGTGTTTAATGAATTTCAGTTTACCTCCGGGAAGAAATGCTGTGGAAATTTGGCCTTTTCTTTGGTAGTGACCTTTTCAATGTTCCCGCTATTGACCTCTTTGCCAACGACCTCCACGTAGCCCTTCACCTCAAAGTCCCAGATCTTGATGTCGGTAAGTGAAGAGTGCGCGAAATACATATTACCTAATGCCTGGTAACAAGTTTTTTTTTTATAAAATTGACTCATCCGATTAATAGAGTTACATCAGTTAAGGTCTATTAGAGATGTAACTTTTTTCCGAGATAGTCCGAAATATATAAAAAAATATTGATAAAAGGAAATTAAAAAAAAATGTATATTTCGTTATAGCTATTACTAAAGCTTTTCATTGATAACTAACTCAATAGCTTCAGCAATTTTTCGGAACAGTATTTTTTTTTTGTTTTTATAACATTAGTATAGCCTACACAGTATTTATAAAGTTATAAAATGCACAATAACAGCACAAAATAATATTGTTAAGTATTAAAAATATTTACTATACGTAATAACAATTAGGTCATTAAAAAAGATTTCCTAGTTGGTACAGAATAAACACGGAAATCAGTTTTGATTACTCATAAAGTATCAAGTATTACCGCTCCTCGGAATGCAAGAATGACGTCACAGAAAGGCGGGAAAAACGTAAAGTTGTACTCGCAGTTGTTTCCAATCATAACACTAGTAAATTCTTTCATCGCAATTCAATAGCGTTCATATATTTTCTTGGAAGATACGACGAAAAAAAATCAACATTTAACAAAACTAAATATATTATAGTATTAAATAAACTAGAAACATAGTCCGATATCGGCATCCACTAATTTAAGACTCGTCGTGCGTCTTTCTTCGTGATACTACAGGGCTGGACTCATGCGAGAGTGTAGCCGTTTTGTTTTATCATAAGTTTAAATAATTAAATTGTAATTAAAGTTCTTAATATCAAAAGTTTATAAAGTATTTATTCTCTTCTCAAGTTCTATTTATGATCTACTCACCGTGAACCTCTCAGGTGAGCTAAAATCTTCATCCAGGAATATCCGGATCTTGTCATACAATCTTAATTCGGGACAATCGCACAATCTCTGCACAAAATCTTCCACATACTGCATAGATTTCTCGTAAGCTTTCCCACCAACTTCTTGCAGATGAAGAGCTATGAACTTTGGATCCATACGAGAGACTGCTTGGAGGAATTCCGATGTCCAGATCGGTAGCATCACTGA